AGGACATCACTACTAGTATACGCTGCTGTAGACTTTATCAACACTGTACACTTAGTCTACACTAAATTTATTTAAAAATTTTTTTCTTCACTGTTAAATTAACCTTAGCTTTACTTAACTTTTTTACTTTGTAAATTTTTTAAATTTTGTAACTCTTTTGTAATAACACTTAGAACATACACATTGCATAGCTATACAGAAATATTTTTTCTTCATATCCTTATTCTATAAGCATTTTTTTATTAAAAATTTTTCTTGGCCGGGCGCAGTGGTTCACACCTGTAATCCTGCACTCTGGGAGGCTGAGGCGGGAGGATCCCTCAAGGTCAGGAGTTTGAAACCAGCCTGAATAAGAGCGAAACCTGGTCTCTACTAAAAATAGAAACAAATTAGCTAAACAACTAAAAATATATAGAGAAAAAATTAGCGAGGCATGGTGGCCCATGCCTGTAGTCCCAGCTACTCAGGAGACTGAAGCAGGAGGATCGCTTGAACCCAGGAGTTGAGGTTGCTGTGAGCTAGGCTGACGCCACCTCACTCTAGCCAGGGCAACAGAGTGAGACTCTGTCTCAAAAAAAAAAAAAAAATAAAAAATAAAAAAAAAAATAAAAACAACAGAACTGGAATAGGAATCTCAAGTTAATCTGGCTTCCGGCTGCTCTGACCCACTGGCTCATGCGCCCACATGCAAACTCTAAGGTGGGGCAGGCTCTGCCAAGCCTGCTTTCTGCCTGCTGACTTCCCCCAGGCCCCCACTCCCCTTGTCACAACATGGGAGCCTTCCTCAAGCCTTCCACCCAGTCTACTCTTCAGCCCAATTCCTGGTGAATCCCTCATTCTCTCCCCTTGGCCACAGGATTCTCACCCTAGATGGTCCACAGTTAATGCAGACTTGAAATGTTCAGGCTAGGGGAGCACTGCCCAACAGAAAGACAGTATGAGCTGCAAATGTAATTTTAAATTTTCTAGTATCCGCATTAAAAAAGTAAAAGTAGGAGTGGCTAATTTTAATAGATTTTGTTTAACTCAGTATCTATCCAAAATACTATCATCTCAACATATAACCAATAAAAAATAATTAGTACAAAAAAGGATATAAAACATCTCATTAGAGCTGGTGTGTGGTCACAAAGTGCTGTGTGTGGTCATCCAACAGGTGGCCGGGGGCTTTGGAGGGTAAGGAGCATTTCCCTGGTGATGTGATGAAAGCACTTGGACTTGCCTCTGACACAGGGGTCCCCAACCTGTGGTGAGCTGTATAGTTATTTCATTATATATTACAATGTAATTATAAT